TGTGTATAAGTTTTGTTCATTGCATTAAGAGCAGAGATGTGTGCTACGTTATACGTAGGGTGATCTTGCATATTTCATTTTGGATTGGAAATTGCTTGGTATCATCCTGGTGTGAGATTGTAATTGTTATGGATGCTTTCTCCGCTGTCTAGATTTGGGATAAATTTGCACTTTTTCATCCTGTATAGCAAGTAGTATAACTTTTTGATAAAGTTAGTGTTATCATGAGAAAGTTAGTGTTAGTAATTTTGTGCCCAGTGGGAAATCAGTGTGATGGTAAGTCAGGTAATTCCCAGGAAGTTGGATAATATGCTTCACTGCTGCTGATACGTGTGTTGTCAATGCGTGTACATATGACTTGTTTGACCAAGTGAGTGAGAAAGTAGGGACTCAGTGAGATGGTTGGAAATGCTTGAATTATGTTTGAAGTGAGGAAGAAAAGGACAAGGAGATAAAGCAATGGATGTTTTTAACCTCTTCGATGAACCAGTAAAGGCTACTCGCTGGTGTGAGAAACAAGAGTTCTAGTTAAGACAGTGATGTAATACATCAATCATTTGCTTTCTTTCTTTTCTGAATCGATCCAAAATCTAGAGGTGGTGCCACTTTGCTTCTTATCTAAGCATCTGCAGCCATGTCTAATTGGAGTGATTTTCTGAATTTTTTCCCAAATGCTATCTAGCCAAAAGCGTTTTAGAAGTTATTCTTTCTTTCTCAAATGGATGCAGTAACGCAATACTCTGTTATGCGTTTCATAGGGCTGACCAATTGAGTTATTTGTCGTTTTCAAGTTAGCATGATAGGATTTCAGAAGTTCCAGATTCAACAGATGCAGATATCATTTTATTCCAAAATAATGAATTTGCTTGACTCATCTTACCATCTAATATAACAAACATTAATTTTTATCTTTGAAATAAAAAAGAAAACATTTCTCATGTAAATTATCGATTGCTATGTTATTTATGCTTTTGACTCAGAAAGAGTGATGTAACTTGTAAATGAATCAGAAAACATTTTGGAACTTTTGGACTCTCTAAACTGGAAGGAGTGAATTCCAGACTCATTATAGATAAACGAGTACCTTCTTGATACTATTGTTAAAGTTAAAACAAGATTTTATTTATTAAGAAGGATACTGAATTTTAGCTGTCAGTTCAGAGTGCCCACTGCTTTTGGTCTTGGATCCGTACTCTAGAGTGTCCTATGATACAATTAATTGCTTCATTTGTACATCTAAATATGTTCCAAAAGGCTAAATGTTTTTTTTTTTGATATCCAAACTCTTCCCATTAATTCAATAGATCAACCCTAGATCTTCCCTAAATGAGGCTGAAAGTGAAAGCCGTTTTTCTGTTTCAGTCGAAGTGAAGGAGCGATTTAATAATACCTCCTAGGCCAAGTGAAGAGGCCAAAGCACACGATTCCCGTGAGTGGCCTCTGTTTGAAACAGATGTTTATGATTGATCTTATCATTTTAGAATGTGCATGATACTTCAACAGTGTCCCCCACCCCCACTCTTCTTTTTCTTGATATATTGCGTATGGGAAATGGGGAAAGTATTGGGAGGAGGTTTGTGTGAGAATTGAATCTTTTACCTTAAGGATGCAAGGTAGAACATCACCAGGGAAGTCTTCCTGTATCCCCTTCATTTTGATTGACACTCCTGTGACATTTGTGAATGCAGCTGTTTTTATTCCTTAACAAGGTTACAAATAATTTCCCTCTGCTCTCTGAACATTACTCTGGACTAGATCATCTGTCCTCCAATTCTGTTTCACTGTTCAATTATATGGACTAACATTTCCAAGGTTACTTGTGTGTATTCTTTGCTTTTATTTCCTTGACTGCTCGATTATAAGAAACAAGGAAATAAGTTGGTTTAACAGAAACGACGATGGTTTATTTACTTGTGTGTCTTTGTTCTAAGACAGAATTTAGAAACAAGATTGTTTTATTTTATTTAATTTTCTGTCCTCTCTGCTCTCGGGTCTTATTCTAAAGAAACAATTGCTTTGTGCGTTAGCATCTTGATGATGCTTTGAACTTAACTGGGATTTTGTTGCTCATTTTATGTGAAGTTCTCATCATCTCTTGCACTTTAAATTGGTTTAACAGAAACGAAGATGGGGAAGCTGCTGGAGCATGTACTGGTGTTTTGGCTCTCAGAAACAGACGAAACGAATTGGACATGCAGTTTTTATTCCAGAAACAACAGCCTCTGCTGCAGATAGACCTTCTTCTAATACTTCAAGTCAAGCTCCTTCTATAGTGCTTCCCTTCATAGCACCCCCCTCATCTCCTGCATCTTTCTTGCCATCAGAACCTCCTTCAGCAACCCATTCACCAGTTGGCTCAAAATGCCTTTCTATGTCTACATATTCTCCCAGTGGACCTGCCTCAATTTTTGCTATTGGGCCCTACGCTCATGAAACTCAACTGGTCTCTCCACCTGTTTTCTCTGCATTCACTACTGAACCATCTACTGCTCCATTTACCCCTCCTCCTGAGTCAGTCCACTTGACTACACCCTCATCACCTGAGGTACCATTTGCTAAGCTGCTTGACCCCAACTACCAGAATGTTGCTGCTGGTCACAGATATCCTTTTGCCCAGTATGAATTTCAGTCATACCAACTTCAACCAGGGAGTCCAGTCAGTAACTTGATCTCGCCTGGGTCAGCCATCTCTGTATCTGGAACTTCATCTCCTTTTCTTGAGCGTGAGTATACTCCTGGACGCCCTCAGTTCCTGAACCTGGAGAAAATAGCCCCTCACGAGTGGGGATCTCGGCAAGGATCTGGGACTTTGACCCCTGAGGCAGTAAACCCCAAATATCACGATAGTTTCCTTCTCAATTATCAGAACACTGGTGTTCATCGTCTTCCAAAGCCCTTTAATGGTTGGAAAAACGATCTAACAGTGGTTGATCATAGAGTTTCTTTCGAGATTACTGCAGAAGATGTTGTGAGGTGTGTGGAAAAGAAGCCAACTATGATGATGAGAACTGGATCAGTGTCTCTCCAGGATACTGAGCGTAGCACTAAACGACAGGAAAACCTGGCTGAAATGTCAAATGCACACGATCACAGTGGACATGAGCCTTCCAGAGAAATACACGAGGGATCATCTACTGACGGAGAGGATGGACAGAGGCAGCAGAAGCACAGGTCCATCACTCTTGGATCCTCGAAGGAATTTAACTTTGACAATGTAGACGGGGGATATCCTGATAAAGCTACTATTGGCTCTGACTGGTGGGCCAACGAGAAAGTTCTTGGAAAGGAGCCCTGCAATAACTGGATCTTCCCTATGATGCAGCCTGGTGTCAGCTAACAGGTTTGCATTCCTTTAGTAAATCCACACCATACTAATAAGCTGCTGTTCATCTGCCTTAAATTTCAATACAACCAGCAGCAAATACCGGAAAACTCTTGATATCAAAACGTACAAGAATGACGAGGGTGTTGAAGGGAATGATGTGCAGCAGGACTGATAATAGAAATTGATACGAACGAAGGCTGTTTTTTTGGGGCACTTCCTGAACCTAGGATAAGATAGATAGGGATGTATTTTAGAAATTACCATTTGATAAAACTAGTTTTGCTCTCCCCTCACTGAGAGTTTTTACATTTAACTAATAGTCTACTTTCTTTTTTTGCCTTCTAGCTCCTCTATGTATAATAACATAAATAATTTGTTAAAAGCAGTGTAGAAGATAATGATAGTAATGTTCATTTTGTTTGATGTTATAATATTGAACTGAGACGAGTTTGAATAGAGTGACATTGAATGTGAGAATTCATGGTTGATCCTACCTTGAGACGAGGTGAATGAACCTTGGAGGCTGGATCATGAGATAAGAATTGTTCAAGATCATCTACGATCCAAAATGTGATGTTTGTTTGGGATTGAGGCGTACTAGTTATGTTACAATTTTGAGAAATTACAAGGAAGAAGAGTGATTAGGATATGTAACTGCCAATATCATCTAGTGATAGTAATTGAGTGCATTGAATTTTGGAGGCCAAGTAGAGTGGACGCCGCCAACATTGTTTGGTCCCCAACATAAATATGAGTTGTCTAATTATCAATTTAGACTTTAGAGTAATTAAAATGAGTTGGCTGAATTATAGGGGTGGAGTACCTAATCTCAAAGATTTAGCATAAAATTGAAGTTCCATTTTAGGGTTGACATTGTATTTTGGATTTAATAATTTCCATAGACACCCACAATCACTAGAAGAACTCACAAAATACATATATTTAAAACGTTAATCACATTATACAAGCCCCTTTATAAGTTCGATTAAGAAAGAGATCGAATGAACTCTCGATTGAATGAAGAATATCTCGTAGCACCCCTCTTCTAATTAATGACCACAATATTATTAGAATGCACATTTTTCATATCTTTGTTTTTATGATATATATTTGGTTAAAGCTTTCTAGATTGGTGTTTGAAGAGACATTGCAATTTTCATATTCTTTCTTCATCTCATTGCGTCAATCAAATAGCTTAATTTTTTTTATGTGAATATTAAACTAATATACCTTCATCAACTATTATACAAATAGTATCATGTCAATTAAACATAAAGTCAAATATTCCAAATATTTTTAAATAATCTTCTTTTCATTATTTCTTTTTATTTCATCTCCCCACTCTTACACAAATATTCTTTGAATAAAGGAAAATTTGGTCTATGTTGGATTGCTATATTAACCCTCGTGCAACAAAAGTCAAACAACTAAAATATTCTAGAAACAAAAAAAAAGAAGAAGCCATTTTTGACCAATTTCAGTTTCTATGACTTTCTAGAGCCCCTATTTTAGCAATTCCATAATTTTAAATATTTCAATTTCCCCATATTTTTTTAAACCAATTAATTATTCATCTAACCAGGAAACTTCCAATAATAATTAATACTAGTTGCTTTTGAATTCAAAGATCCCAACTTTTATTTTTCTTTTAAAAAAGAAAAATCAAAGTCTTACCCTCTATATAAATATTGAACCCCATTCTTGAATTTACCCAAAATCACCAAAAAAGAAAATCTAAAGAAAAAAAAAACAAAGTTTTTTACATTGAAATTTCAAGAATTCATTCCCAAAGCTTGAAAAACACCATTCTTGAATCACACAAAATCACAAAAGAATGAGTCTTTACATTGTATTTCAAGAATTCCCAAAGCTTTGAAATCACCATTCTTGAAAAAAGTTCCAAAGAAAAAAATATATAAAAATTGAGTCTTTACATTGAATTTCAAGAATTTCCCAATAAAAGATGCCACCTTTTATTGGATCTCATCCTCTTTCATCTGGTTTTTCAAGAAACTCCATTGATTCATCTTCAAATATTGTCACCATTGATGTAGGTGGTCATCTTTTTCAAACAACCAAACAAACCCTAAAGCAATCAGGTTCAAAATCAATACTTTCTGAAATTTCAAATCTTGATGGTTCCATTCCTTTCATCGATAGAGATCCAGAAATGTTCTCAATCTTGCTTTCCCTTTTAAGAACTGGGAATCTCCCTTCAAAAGCCAAAACTTTTGATATTCAAGATTTGGTTTTTGAATCTCAGTTTTATGGTGTTGAGCATCTGTTATTGAATTCCCATTCTAACCCTTCTCAGTTTGAGCCTTTTGATCTTGAAAAATCTTTGATTTTGCCTTTAAGTGGTAGGGATTCACCTACTGCTATCTCAACAACTCAATTAGGGTCAGTTCAGGTAGCTCATGGTTGTAAAATCACTTCATTTGATTGGTCATTAAAGAGAAAATCAACCATTTTAACACAATTTGCTGGTATTGACTCTATGTTATCTGTATCACCAAATGTTGTTGCTGCTGGTGCTACTGACTTTTCAGGTTTACAAATTATTGATGTTAGTAAAGGTTTTGTTAAAGAAACTTTGAATTGGGAAAATGTTACCAAGTCTGGTTCAACAGTACAAGGCATAGGTGCTTCAAAAGAGTTTTTGTTTACGAGTTTCGAATCATCTAGGAGAAACTCTAACTGCATTATGATATATGATTTGAGTGATAATGGTTTTAGGCCTGTTTCTGAGATAGGTCATTATGAAATCTTTGGTGCTGAATTAGATTCCGCGATTCCAGCTACTAAACTTAGATGGATTCCTAGTTATAACTTGTTGATGGCTGCTGGTTCACACAGTGGACCTTCTGGTGTTAGAGGGAACATTAGGTTTTGGGACTTGAGATCAGGGAACGCGGTGTGGGAGATCAAGGAAAATGTTGATTGCTTCGCTGATTGCACTGTTTCGGATGATCTTTCAGCAATTCTGAAAGTTGGCGTTCATTCAGGCGAAGTTTTCATATCGGATTTGAGAAACATTGGTAAGGAAAATACTTGGACTTGTCTTGGTGATTCAAGAAAAGCAACAAATGGTAAGAAAGAAGGGTTTGGGAGTAAAATTGAGAGTCATGGGAATCAAGTTTTTTGTAGTAAAGGTGGAAATCTCGAATTATGGTCTGAGGTTTTGATTGGTTCTTCGATTAAAGATCGAGTCTTTAGGAAGAACTCAATGGGGAGAGCAAAAGATAGTTGTGGAAATAAGATAACACATTTCAGCTTTGGAGGTAACAAGATGTTTGTTACAAGGAAAGATCAACAATTTGTTGAAGTTTGGCAGAGTTCAGTAAGGGGATTCTAAGATTCTTCGAAAATACACTACTACTTTTGAAAGATACGACACGTGTGAATTGCTCCTGGTTGTGCATAATCATTTGATAATCAGAGTTATTCTTCGATAAATGTTCACAGTGAGTCACACATGTTTGAAGAGTACAGACAAGTTTGCTCCCCAGAGTCATTCTTTGATAAACAATCGTGGTGAGTCAAGACATGTTTGAAGAGTACGAGAAGAGTAGTCTGACTGAAGGACCATCTTATTATCAATCTATTAACTCTTGCTGCTCATTATTATAAATTCTGTATATACTTTCTTTAGTTGAACTGCACAAATTGTATGTATATAAAGAGAGTGGAATATCAAACTTCAATTTGCTACTAACTATTTGTTTTCATGTTACTTTACCTCACACCATTAATTGGCAAACTTATGACTTATTGCTTGTATACATATTTGGAAAAAAATACAAGCAATTCCCTTCATAATACGATAAAAAACTTGTAGATTTTTCTTAGGCTACTTCATATTCTTTCATGAACAGGCGTGTCTATTTGATTCAAGATATCTATATATTACGAAACAGATATAACACTCAAAAGCAGAAGGATTAAAATACTCATACAAAATGGTCATGGGCGGAGCTAAGGTATCGAAAGGGTTATATTGATTTTTTCTCAGAGGTATTATATTCGTATATTTATATTTTGAATCCCTTTAACGAGAATTTTGATTACGCCACGAAAAATCTGAAGAGGGCAAAATATACTTAACTGCTCATTCCAACACTAGTTTTTGTGTTTTCAGTATCTATTAAATCAACTGCTTATAAAACAAACATCTAAATTCTTGGTTTAAGAAAACATTAAACAGAGATTATAGTAATTAATTTCAATATAAAATTATAATAAAGTTTAATAATCTAAGATTAGAGATGCACATAGCTTCAATCAAACAACTTGATGTAATATTAAACAATAAAAAACAGATTGGAACTATTATTGCAAATTAAAAATTTAAATTTAGAAGAAAGATAGATGGACGAGCCCATTATCCATCAAACTGGTTATTTAATTTGGGCTATTAAAAAGTTTAGTTTCGATACTGATTTACGTAAATATTTTTTTTTAGGTCACTATTTAGATTTTGTTTTTATTTTGTAAAGTTATGCAAATATAGTCACTTTTCTTAAAGTTGTTAAATTTAGGTCTAATATTTACTTTGTTGCCCAATTTTTGTAGATAAAATATTAATTATGACACTACATTTCAGCCTGGTAGTTAACAAATATGTCCAAAGTGAATAGCTTGTATATACATATAATTATTTATGCATTATTGTGTATACAACACGTATAATATGCACAGTTATGTATATATTATGTATATTACAACCAATTTAGTAAACTAATTCATCGAATAGTATATATCGGCAACTTTTGCAATAAAGAATAATAGAAAGACAGATCCATTAATTATTTTAGACCATCGTATCATTAGTTATCATTATTTGTACGTATTTATCTATTCAGGATTGTGGTTAGTGTGGAGATAAATTTAATAATAAGTTGAAGTCTTCCTTGAAATTCATAAATTTTAAATTCGGAATATATTTTTATCTTCTTGTCACCTTTACTTCTCATTTCAATTTTGAATTTAACAAAGTTGTATATTTTCTTTAATAAAAAATTACAATGAATTTACATCAATTGTATTACAAAAAAAAAATCTTTAATTTGACAAATTAAGAAATCTAAAAATAAATATCTTCAAAATTGTAAGTGGACGTATATATAGGTAGAAGACTATTACTATATTATGTAAGTTGGCGTTTGATTATATATTTCAAATCAAATTTAAAAGACATTATGGTCATAAAATTTGATCAAATTTTAAAAATCAGATCTTCTTATATTTTCATGTTTCCAAAAACATATCTCCTACCACTAGTTTTTCGGAAAAATTCACTTCCATGACTCACAAAACTTAAATTTTTTTCAAGTAAAATGCAAATCGATCCGAACACAAATTCAAATATTCAAATTTTCAAGTTTTAATTTCAAAATCTATGATTTAAACCGGAGTAAATTTGTGGACAACCATATTTGATGGCCAATTACTATTTATAATAAATAGGTTTTGCATAATCATATAGCTTGATGGTACAAATAAACCATATTGGCGGTTTTCAAAGTCTTTTTTTGAATTTGTCATGTCTAGTAGACGTTGAAAATTGAAACTACAATAGTCTTACGTATTGAAAAAGATCTTATGACCAACATATCACAAAAACGATAAAATTCGGTATATTTTATGTCCATCTCGATTATTTATTAATTTTTTGCTATTTTTTGATACCATGAATATCTGATAATTTTTAAAATAGATACGTATTTTAATTTTGTAAGTTCTCATTAATCATAGGATAATACTATGTACTAATATTTAATGAATAAGATTCTAGATTTGATGTTTATACATATGTTCGGTGGATCAAATGTACTGATTTATATGCACTCATTAAATAAAAGACTGAAAAAGAAAGAACTATATTACATATGATGATAGATATAAATCACGCGATTAATGTGAATTGTGGTGTAGTGGTAAGATATTTTATTTTTAATTAAGTTTTTGAGGTTTGTGTTATGGATATGGAGAAAATTCTATTGAAGTTCTACTCCAAATGAATTTGTGCGCAATTCAAATTTTATCGAAACTCTAATGCGGATTTCAAACACCGGGTACAAGACAAAAGAAGAGGAGAAAAAGCATATAAAAGAAAATTTAGATCAATATGAATTACGATGGAATGTCTTTAATTAATCTTTTCTAAATTTTGAAAGTACGTGCACATACGTATTTACTTGAAAAATAATAAACTTAGAGGTAAAAATGTAACTAGCATAATACTTATCGAGTTAACGGTTCACTCAATAAAAAAATTGAGTAATTAATCCGCCCCCGCACCATAAACCATCAACTATAAAATTTTAATCCATTCACCAACTATTAATCCGATAATTCAATATCAACAAGTCAATATTATTTATAGCTTATTGATTACTGTACGATTGTGAACAACCTTAATTAAATATGTGCTAGACAATATACAAAATTAAATTTAATCAGTTTTCAATATAATTATCGAATCTCAAAATGAAAATGAAAATGGTGAGAGCTAGAGAAAGTCAGACAAGTCCATGTACAATGTTTAATGCTATGTGTTGTGAACTTTTAAAGCTTCCAGGGTGTCTGCCATCTGTTTTTTTGCATCCATTGCCGTCTAATTACTTATGGTTAGTTACTTGTTCGGTATTCGATATTTATATTAAAATTAATTAATTAAAATTATTTTTGATTTGAATAATAAAATAAAAAATAATTATTTTGTAGAGAAGTGTAATCCTCTTATTTATAATTTATGTATTTCTCTCTTTGATTGTACTTTAATATCAAATTATAGATCCTCATTCTAGTGCGATTTTTCGTATTTAATAGTAAATCGAAATATAGTGTATATGTACTCTTGTAACATTAATTTTTCTCGTGATTGGTTGAAAGAAGTTATTATAATTGAGATTTGTTTAGTTTTTAATTAAAATTTCATCATTCAAATTGTAAATGCGATCTTTCGTATTAATAGTAAATCGAAATATAGTGTATACGTATTCTTGTAACTTTAATTTTTCTTGTGGTTGGTTGAAAGAAGTTATTATAGTTGAGATTTGTTTAATTTTTAATTAAAATTTCATCTATCAAATTGTAGATTTTGTAAGGTAGCTTTTAATTCAAATATATAATAAATTAATACATGTCTCATAAAACATTTACTATTGACCAAAAAAAAAAGAATTAATTGGTACCCTTTTATTTTCTTATAGTTTTTTCACCTTTTTTTATTTATCTTTTAGCACTCTTTTGTTTCTTGCAATAATATACAATTATTGATGTATTAATTGCTTTCTAAAAATTAGGTATATGCAATTGCTTTGTTCCCCATTTACTAGGTCTCACCTCCAATATATATTTCAATTTTTTAAAAAAAATTTGCAATGACTTTTGTGGCTGTGAATATTAATTGTATATAAATATATGGAGCATAATATATAGTCCATACAACATTTAGAGTTTTTTTTTAATTCTTTATTTTTATTGTTCTTTAATTTCAAGATTCATCGTATATCTTTGATCTGATTATACTTTTTTACTTTTTTAGTGTGTTAATTATGTCAGAAATAATCATGTCCTTTTTCAAATAGTGTGTTAATTATTAATTGAATATAATGTTGTTCGTTATCTATTGACAGATTTTACGAATTTCAACGAAAAAATTGGAAGAAATTAAATCAGCTATAATTGTGTTTGAAGAGACTAGCTTATTAGAATAAAACATAATGTCCTAGTACAAAAAACATAGACATAAGGAAGTAGTAGAAGATATTTGAAAAACTTATAATTTCATTGAAAACGTGTTGTAATTTTTTATTTTTGGTTTTAAAGAATAAATAACACTACATATAGTCCATGATGATTTTTATATTTATCATGGTGTGTTCCGATTTTTGGCATATAAATCTAATTAAGATTTTCTTTTTTGGACTTTAATAACTTGACACCTAACATAATGGGCGGATTAAAAGGTTATGACATGTTTAAGCTTTAAAAATAATCGTTTGTTATAACAATAGATATTTATAGTCCGATCTTTATCTGGACATTATTAAGTGTATCAGATTAGACTATCGTTTTGTACATATATTAACTAACCACAGTGGTTATTTTTTTCTTCTTTGTCCTAAGTTTTTTCATATGCAAATTTTCCTTTACAAGAAATGATGAAATTTATTTATTTTTAGCTATATTATTTTATATAAAATAAGAGAGGAGACTTAAAGCAAGTAACATTTCAAGAGCAAATTAAATATACTCTTGTCTTCATGTCATATTTTTGTATGATAATTTCTTTTTTTAGATATTTATGTTATTGATATTTGATCTCAATTTTTTCACATACAAAAACTATTTAATATTATTAGAATTCTCACTATCATGAATTCTAGTTAGATAGATGGTTAAAATTTCTTTATTCTTAATTATTAAAGGTATTATATTTAAATCACTAAAATAAAAACACCGTTATTAGAGAGATATCTAGCACGAATAACAAAGAAAATTTGGCCATATTTTGACTAGAAAATTTAAAAATTTATAATATTTTTTTAATTTCAAAATAAACTATTAAAAGGTATTAAAGTAAAAATAATAAAAATATTCAAAAATAAACTATTAAAAGGTATTAAAGTAAAAATAATAAAAATATTCAAAAATGTAAAATAATATAAGCAAATATTATTCTCGCCAAATTCTGATCATATTTTCTGG